TTAAAAAACTATTCTGTAGTTAGGGCTTGGCATACAAAGAAGGGGGAGGGTGATTACGGTAATTTTAAATACCTTTGGTAGCAAACAAGTATACGGGTCGATGGAAGGTAAGTAATGCACGTAGTCTATAGTTCTAGGCTTCCAAAGTTTGTTATAAGAAAACTCAGGTTTAGGTTAAGCTCGCCTCACCCTTCGACATTCTGGCCGACATGGACGCGATGGTCTATGACCAAGTTCGATCTGTCGGTCAGAGTGGTGAAGAGGCCGCGAATTCACCATGATGTAGGCCTATTCAACTCACACTAATTAAATTTGTATATTTTTGAAGATTGAATTGTCCTTGTATTGTCAAAAACACAACAATAGACATATTAGAACAGAAAAACTTGGTGAACCATGAATGCTTTCAGTGTTTTATTCTAGTACATTCTGTTCTGAGAGAATGCCGTATTCATCACCAAAAAAGATTTGAGTACAGGGTGATTCTTTGAAACCGAGGGTAAATGACTAATTCGTCTGGCTTAAATTTATTTTTAGTATTAGATACAAGTTTAAATATTAGTTTGTCTAGGTCATTAAATATATTTGATTTATTTAAAAGGCACTGCTTTGCTCCCAGTAATTTATGATTTAGAGTGTGCAGATGAATTAATCAGCCAGATGAATGATGACGATGGCAGAAGAATGAGATTTTGCACACTTATTAACTAAGATAAGGAATAAATGAGATTTTTTTATATTATTTGAATCAATTTTATTGTAAAAAAATAAAATATAATCACTATGTTGTGTTGATCAGTCAAGTGAATCTTAATTATTCTGATATCCACTACGCATACATGATACTACTTCTAATTTGTAACTATTTCTTTGGGTTGAATTATAATGATTAAACTTAATAAATCACACTTTATAACAAGAATCTCTTATATCTTAATTGCGATGACATGCAATGGCAAAAATAACAATAATTCTTCACTTATTCCGATTTCACCAACGTCGAATAAATTTATCCGAAGAATAAATTCGGCGTTCTGAAAGTTTTAGTTGCAAAGAAATATCAAATTTGCACTCGGATAAGATTTATTTTACATTGGTGAAATCAGCCATCATCATCATCATCATCAACAGCCTTTAATAGTCCACTGTTGGACATAGGCCTCCCCGTAGAAAGGAGGTTTTGGCCTACTATATGGTTGGTATAGGGTTTGTTTCAAGTTTTCCTTCTCTCTGCAGTGTTGTTGTCCTGCGTAGTTTTCTCCCTTAGTCGCCTCTTACGACACCCACGGGATGAATAGGGGTAGAAATCAGCCATTAGAAATAAATTATAAGAACAAAAACATAATGTATCAACGAAAAAGAAGCAATTTGATAACACAAACAAACAACTAAAACAGTCAAATCAGTGTGGTACAACGTGCAGTACATGCGATATGCATCACCCACCCTCCTGCTTCTAAACATGCAGAAAAAGCAAACAAGCAATACACACCACCACGACACGACACCACAAAAATCTTCTGTCAGCACTGTTAACGTACGTATCATTCGTATTGCTTGCTTGCTTATCCTGCATGTTTAGAAGCGGGAGAGTGGGCGGTGTATATCGCATGCTGCACGTTGTACCACACTGATTTGACTGTTTTAGCGGATGATAGCGAATCACCCGCTAAAACAGTCAAATATCTCAAGTTCCTTGATCAGAGACTTCAGCAAAGTAACGCCTGCTTCTAGCCAAATCAAGATATAATAAAATGAGAATCTATCCATACTCTCAGCCTTAATTTTATAATAGGAACTTCAGTCAAAAGATCGCTGAGCGGTAAGTACTTAGGTACTTATCTATTTTAAAAAATGTCATCATCATCAGAGTCCATTAGGTATGGAGCAAGATTTTCTAAATCGATACTAAATTTTTTTACTACTGTCTGTTGGAAATGTTATTTCTAAAATACTGTCTAAGTCAAGACATTCTGCCGATTCCAAATTTTGTTCTGCTTTATTCTTCCTGAGTCTTTTTTCTTCATTTGCTTCTGATATGGTAAATTGTTTTCCATCACTATTATTTAGTCCTAAAGATTTAAGAAAGTTTGGTTAATTGGGTATATCGAAAATATAAAATTCTTCATCTTCATTCTCTTGATTTGTGTTACTGCTTTGCTCTGTTATTGTCTTTTTTTGTTCGATTGGTTTGTTATTCTCTCGTAATAAGTTTTTCTTTGGTGTTTTTCGCACTTCATTTTCATTTTCTTGAACTATCTTGCCCATTAGCTTTTGTTTTTGTCCTGGCAAAATTCGGTTAATCTTTCGTTTTGATTCTTTTTCAATTCTGGTCCTCTCTTTCTCTGACGATCTTATCCCTTTTCTTTTATATATTGGCGTGTTACTTGTTTGGTCCTTCTTTTGATTTCCATCTTCAATCACATTACGTCTTGCTGTCCAAAAGGATTCACCAATCTCTCTCAGTTCCCTTGTTGAGTCAGCTAGAGGTGTGACTAAGAAGTCTTTCTGACATCCGTCTGCAAAGTTAAGAAAGCCAAGATGTTTCTTGTAACGCAGACGTCTTACTAAGCTTGTTGAGTTGCTCTGTTGAGACATACTGCATGAAATCCTATATGGTCCTGGTACAGGTGAATCCGGTTCTTTGTTTGAAATTGAGTTTTCTAAAGGTGACGCATCTCGAATGTTGTCTTGTGAAGGTACCACCATTTCAGTGTCTGACAAGATGCTGGGACTTTGAGGTGGTGTATATTGTGTAAACAGCTGCTCCGTTCTTTTTTCTTGCTTTTTTCTTAGGTAATATGACTTGTAATTTTTTCTCCATCTTTTTCTCTGTAACTTTAGATGTCTTGGAGTCATTTCCTTAATCGATAATTGTTTCTTTTCTTCTTTTCTTCGTATATAGTTTTGTTTATTCTTTTCTTGTTATTCTTTCCATAAATCATCATTATTTTTTATTCTTTCGTATCTTTTTCTCTCTGCAAGCCTCTTTTTTCTAAGTCTTTCTTCTCTTGTCTGCGTCTTTGGTTTTGCCATTTCAAAATAGTGTTCTGAAAAGAAAAACTAGTATACAGGAACTATAGTCTGTTTATGTTAAGAAAATTGAGACTAAACTGATCATTGTCAGTAGAGTAAGCGATGCCCTCAACAAGCCTTCAACTAATTATGTTGCGAGAAATCAAAAAACATTTTGATTTCACGCAACTTAGTTGGTCAGTGATAGAAATCTAATTCATCTGCCTCTTCCAAATTCATCTGGTCTTATGAGCCAGATAAATCCAGACCAATGAGGGCCAGATTAATGAAGAATTTGAAGATAATCGAATCCTGTCCAGTTATTTATCAACTCTTAAAATCATAGGAGTAATTAACAGTAATATACAACCTAATAAGGGTTTATGATTCTTACAAAACATTAAAAGACACTTCAATATTATTCATAAACAATACCAGATTAATTATGCTACTTACCTTACAAACGCCAGATTACAGGTTGATATCGTATTTTTTCGTCAAAATACGCGCCGTGAACGAGCGCTCCGTATGATAGACTGGCATTCACTGGCGCGAAAGATCGCTAGTCGGTTTATTCAATGGAAAAATTTAGAGTTACGTTGAATTCCCTTGTAGACGTATTGGGCCAGATGAATGATTACTTTAGTCGCGGATAATTTTTAAAGTACTATCACTTCAAGATTATTTAGTTATTATGTTTTTTAATTTGGAAATATTATTAAATATGTAATGGAATATCGTTACAACTTACTTATTTTATTATATTGCGACAATTTATACCAAAAAATAGTATAAATCAACACAAAAGCGTCATTTGGACGCGCCAGATTAATTAGTTTTAACAGTTTTCTGAAGGCTTAAGTTTTTTATTTATTTTGAACTGCGATTAGCTATATCATGCCTCGATAGATATTTACTTTTAACATAAAACCTAAAATGTATGTCGAAAATGAAGATTATTTTAATGAGTTCTTCAGCGAAAATCATGTCAAAACTGTGTTTCGAAGAATCACCCTACAAGCAAAAACACCGTAGCTGGTGCAGATGTTTTAAATGGTGTAAGTGGCTTTCCCTCTTAGAAAACAGCTGTTTTATGGAATATATGAGCGAACGAGTAGATGTGAAACCTGATGGTATGGATGGTAAGTGACAACCCTCGCCCATGGACACCTGAAACTCGTGAGTCTCAAGTCGTCGTTCCCTCCAGAATCAGGGGGAAGTGGGGTTCGAATTTTTCCGTTGCTTTTGAGTGAGTGAAGGTACCAGAACCCAACCCTCCTTCCCCCTGATTCCGGGGCGGGAAAATGCCCTTAGCATTAAAAGTAACGCCGCCGCCGTCGCCGATGTACAAAAGTGCATAATGTTAAATAAATAAATGCACTCAGGATATTCAGACGTAGATATCAATGGGGGGATAGTCACTTACCATCAGGTGACACGTCGAATTCCCCCCCCCCCCCCCTATGCCCACATACCATAAAAAGAGCCGTGGTGTCAATCCAGTCCAGGCGCCATTTGTGCCGAAGTATGGCATCTCACACGCGGCATTCTGATCGCAAACTATGCAGAGCCGGTTCTATGGTAACCAGACTGCTGATAAACATGCTTACATATTTCTATATACATACAATTATAAATAAATTACACCTAGAAACAACAAATCTGTTGATCAAGTTATTGTCTGCGATATTTCCGGACCGATACGACCTTCAAACCTGCAAGAAAAGAGCGTACTCCTTCTTTAAAGACCAGCAACCCGCTTGTGACTGCTGAGTCGAAGGCGTTCATGGACGGCGGTAGTCATTTTCCATCAGGTGACCCATCTGTTCTTCCATAAAAAAAAGATACAGACCAAACGATCATGCTCATCACACTAACATTTGTCCCAGGTTAGAATCGACCTACCTCCGGCAGCAGTCAGGGTGACTAACACACTGGCCAGTCTTGGAAATGAATTTAAACCAAAGATCTTCTTTTTTTGTCAGGTATCAGCGTGGGTGACAGAGCTGGTACTCACACAGTCTTCGCTTGAAGAACGGAAGGCGACTCTAGCCTGCATTCTGAGAGTAGCGCTGAGCTGCTGGAACATAGGCAACTTCAACGGAGCCATGGAAATCGTTGCTGGATTGAAGTAAGTGGATCTTTCTTCTTTTAGGTCTACTGCTGATTAATCACGAAAATAAGTCCTTCTGTATACATACACACTGTGTACATACACAAATGGTCACCTCTCTTTCTTTGATCGACTTAAGTCAATCCGGTTTTTTGTCATCTGGAAATAATAAATGCGAGTCGAACTTGCCCACCGAGGGTTCGATGATGAATGATTTAATTACAAAGTTTTCAGATTTTTCTCTGAACTTGTAGTAAAAGACGATGTTACTTGCCAAATTTCATAATTTTATGTCAACGGGAAGTACCCTATAAATTATGATTCGTTTGAGAGTGCGGCAATTTGCGTTTTTTGTGGCATAAACGGCCGTATATTTTTTCTACGTTAACTTAGAAGTTTGTTTTTTTTTTGGTTTACACAAATAAAAAAAAAAATATAGAAAATAATTTTTAATACATTTGCAAAAAAACCTTGGGGTGCTTTTTACTATTGACAACAGGCACCCAACGCTTTTTTCAATTAAATAAAAAATTATTTTATGTTTTTTAGTTTGTTTTTGTATAAAAAGCGTGTTTTTTAGTTTTTTAAAACTATTACATTTTTCTGGGATAATCAACACCTACAATTTATTTATCAATTACGCTGACTCAAGCGAGAAGGACTCCAAGGGCAGCAACGCACTTGTGACTTTTGAGTTGCAGGTATCCATGGGCTGCGGTAGTTGCTTACCATCCGGTGACCCGTCTGCTCGTTTGCCCCCTTATACCATAAAAAAAACTTGGGTTGTGGAGGTCTGGTGGGAGTCGCTCAACGTAAAAAATCGAAATTCAGCCGTCTCGTAGTAGACTTACAGCCGACCCCAACCCAGTTTGAGAATAAGGCTCGAAGGAAGGGAGCAAACGAGCAGAAGGGGCATATGATGGTAAGTGAGAATCGCCGCACATGCTAATCAGTAACCTGTAACTTAAAAGTGAGGGCCTTTGAGAATTACGAAGAGATACCATACCACAGAATTAGAAGGGGGGGGTTGAGCAACCTCACACACCACTTGACACCGGTTTACACCTGGCTGAGACCGCCCATATATACAGAAGCATATCTCTCCCATGGCTAGTAATAGAGTAGGGATGGGACCATTGATGATATGGGCGTTAGGACGCCTCTACCTCCCCCTTCAGAGATATAATCGTGAATGTATGTATGTATGTACTATAGCAAATCAAAGACTGCCTCGGTGGTGCAGTGGTAGCGTAATGTGACTGCTATGCTAAGGTCTTGGGTTCGATTCCTGGGTTGGACCTTATGTTTGTATGACCTGCAAATATTTGTTTCGGAGTTTGGGTGTTTTCTATGTATAATATGTATGTATGTACAAAAAAAAAGTATAACAGTATTCTATTCGTCAGCAAAATAAGTAGCTTTCATAGTACAAGTTTCATAGTCTGCTTAGTTTGAAACTAGATGGCGTTGTGTTACAGGTGTCCGAAATATTTTATTTTTTATTAATTATGAGATTATTATAAACACACGTACCTAGAAGAATTTCCTTTGGAACTTAAACAGCAGAATCAAGAAAGAAGACGAAGCCAGGTCAGCAGGGGTTTCTTTCGGCCTTCAGCTGTTGACATAGACTGTAGGCCGGCGGAAACTACTTGCTGACCACGCTTACACCCACAGAAGAAGAAAGAAAAGAAGAATTATTATAGAAATAAGATTCAACTAAGATTGACTACAATAATTTGACTGATTTAATTTAACTATAATATTATTATGTAATTATTTACTCGTATTTAATAATATATATATAAAAAAAACAAAACCTCCTAGAGAGAGACCTATGTCCAGCGGTGAACTATTAAAGGCTGTTGATGTGATGTGTGTAAAGTATGTTTATCAGCAGTCAGGTCATCATAGGACAGGCTCTGCCTAGTTTAAGATAGGACTGACAAGTCAGGTTATTATTATTGTTTGAAGGGCTTGTAGAAGAAAACACATACACATAATTATGTTCACGAGAATGAACGCGCTTACGGTAGGTATTAAGTACATACCTTTGAAATGTCTGACGTTTCGACCAGGTTGATGGAGCCGTGGTCAGCCAGTTGTAATCACGATAGGTATTAAGTTCATGCTTTTAAATTGCTAATGCATTGATTCCCGTATTACATCCATACTTATTTTATACACTAGTTAGTGATTTGCGTGGAATTTGAAAAGCAGTGGGTAAAATAGTGGGTTCGATTTCCGGACCGGGTAAAATTTAATAGCCTAAGTTACTCCTTATAGACAGTTAGCTGGTAGTAAAATATTATCAAAATCAATCCAGGCCATTTTGAAGATTACCCCCCACCCCCGAAACAGACAGACAGACAAAAATATTAAAACTTTTTTTTAGGCTTAGATATCGTGCAAATAACCGTGTAAGCATGGAAAAACCAATTATTTTGACACTGCAAACAGACACTTCAATTTTATTTATTTATACATAGATTTGAATGTGAGTTCGTTTGCTTATTACGCTTGCACGCCTAAACCATCAGATGACCCGTCTGCTCGTCTGCCCCCTCTAACATTAAAAAAAAAAAAAAAAAAACTAAACCGATTTTAAAAATAATTTCACGAATGGAAAGCTACATTATCAGCGAGTAACATAACCTATTTTTAATGCGATAACTAACATACACGTGGGCTGAGCCGCGGGCGAAAGCTACTAATTATATATTATGGAATGTGAGAATTTAAAAGTTAGTAAAAGTTTTAATAAAAGTTTGTAAAGACCCCAGCGTCACATGATATATTGCTAGCTCAGAAGTTGTATTTTTCAAAACAAAAATCAAACTAATACAATGTCTGCTTACCCCCTACAGAACAAAACCGCTGCCATAAAGAGTATATTATGAATACGAATATATTATCCCTCGTTAGCAACTGACCGCTCTATATGACTACCCTTTGGTATTCCAGAGCTTCTCAAACTTTCTTGAATAATTTTATTGAATGACCCCTTGGCCATGCATGATACATACATATATTAACGAGACAAATGACATTTCTCATCTATAAATAACAAGAATTGACTCCGGTCAATTTGGCCCCTATGTACTTGTAATGACGGTGTTTAATTAGGTGATTAATTATATTTGTTATCTAAACAAAAAATCATAAAGTCAATAAATCAGCACTAAACTGTTTGTTACGTGACGCGACGCATCTATCCAGCTGAGTTACAGTACAACAAACTATTCAATTAAATTCACGTCATGTTTATTATCATGATAAGGCTTGACACAAGATTTGACCTAGAAAGAGTTTATGGATTAATAAGCCTTGTTGCTACCAAGGTTCTACCTGCTGAGCTAACTGGTGACCTGATGATTAGTGACTAACGTAGCCTATAAATAACTGCAACGCAAAAACACGTGTAGGTTAACGGCCTTTGAATGCCCATGCCAGTATTATGAGCGGGGAAGTGTATAAGTTTCCGGTAAACTAGCTTGCGTACACTCTGTGAAACGAAACAAAGGAATTGTGTTTATTAACATCTGTGATCTGTGAGATCCTGAAATCACAGTGGTCTAGCCAACACATATTGACCGAACGGATGGCGTATTGGTTTAAGCAGTCACCACTCCCGTTTCTACTACGCTTAGCGTTATTGGTTTGATCCCCACATGGTACAATACTTTGTGTGATCTACAAATTGTTATTCTAAGTCTAAGTGTTCTTTGTGTCCCTTTCATGTATATTTTTAAGTCCCCTATGACGGGATCGTAGAATTAATATTTCGAGGTAGTTATAGTGAAAAAAAATGCTGTAAAGTATATTAATCTCAAGAATACGATAAAATACCTTAATACAACTTCCATAAGATCGTTTTATGCCAAATATTATTGCCGATTTCCATCTAAAATCGACCATTTACATTTAATTAAAAACGTTATAATAGCTACATAATGTTGTTTTTAATATAATAATAATTGAATGTTTTTCGTCTTCGTCTCGTTATAATTTTATAAGAAAATTTTAGAGTATCATGAAACAGCTGCTCTGTACAAAATGGAGGAATATTACAGAAGCAGAGGGGCTCTAGTTGATGGTTTTTTTTTATTAATTTTGGCGGCATTGAAAGTATCTAATCAAGTAATAACAGTGGCAATGAGTCTAATGTCTTATGGATCCAAAAATGGACGAGTTTTCAAATTTGTTTGATGTTAAAAATTGAAACAACTGTGAAATGATTCTTCTTTACCACTCGTTTTTATATATTAGAAGGGTTTGTTTCCTTGCTTTGATTGCGTGCTTAGACAACGATAAAATATTGTTATTTATTATTCTTATATCTACATTATATAGTTTTACTTATATTTGTAGGTATATAGTTAGAAAATAAGTTAAACCTAAAATGTTCTCCTTTAAATTACTGATCCACTTTTCTTGAATTTGGAATTGAATTATAAATCTAACTTTATAAATATTTATGTTGTATCAAAAACTTTTAAGAATCCAAAACTTTTTTTCACTTGAACCCCCTGCGTGGACCCGTTTGCCATCAGACCTCTACAACTTAAGTACTAGGTTATATCAAAAATCTGTAGGACTTTTTAAGGGCTCCAACTAACCGTAACGATTGCCAAAGATATTCATTTTGCAACCGGGGCAAACGGCTTAACGTACTCTCCTAAGCACGGAAAGGTCTGAATGTGTTATGAATGGTCACCCATTCATAGACTGACCTTGCTATAATTGCTTAACTTCTCAATGTGTTATGTGTTAATGTGTTAACCTACCCGGTTACCACTTAGTCACGAACGCCCCTGATTCTAACCAGGAGTAATCTGACTTAAAAATATATTTAACCAATTCCTATGTAATTTTCTTCTACAGTAATTTTAATCAAAATTACTTTGGCTACACAAAGAGTTCTGATTAAAACATACACATTGTTGCAAACAGTTTTTGTCAACAAAAACCTTCAGGAACCCGCCCTTTAGGCTTGAAATGTTATGTAAATACAATCTCAAGTCTACTTTAATCCAAAGATTGATACAAAGTTCCCTCTACCACTTTGTATATATTATACAATAACAGTTGAAATTTTGTAAACATACCCGAATAAATTTATTCATAGTATCGGATGCAAGACAAATTATAAACGATTTATTTCACAAGCGGTATACGGTACCGCACCAGAAGGAAACAACCATTTTATTCAAACCTCTTTGAAATGCATATTGTAAATTGAAAAGGGGTCAGTTAAAAATGGTTTTGGGAATTAGATTCTGTAGTAGTATTTACATTCTAAATTGTAGCTTATTAAACCGTTTATATTATCAACAGCCTCTAATATTCCACTACTGGACATAGGCCTCTCCTTAGAAAGGAGGTTTTGGCCTACTACGAGTATACCACGCTGGCCAGACGGGTTGGTATAGGGTTTTTGTTAAGTATTCCTTCTCTTTGCAGTGCTGTTTTCCTGCTTAGTTTGCACCCTTAGTCGACTCTTACGACACCTACTTGATGAATATGGGTTGAGGACACTCCATATTCTGAATCTATCACTACACGGACAGTCTATATAGATATATATATAATACTAGCTGACCCGGCCACGCGTTGCTGTGGCTAAAGTTTTTGTTATATTACATTATAGTAAACAATCTAAGAGGAACAATAAGAGAACATCAGTCACGGAGTCCACTATGCTTTTTCACACAGATGGTATTTGTAAAAAAATATGGTGATCTCCTTATTTGAGTTTCTACTACTATAACCCTTTTGTACAATGAAATTATTTACGAACAAAGACGAAAATGTTGATGTTGGTATACAAATTCACTGGATTGAGATTTGAAGGGGAAGTACATTTAACACAATTAATTAAAATGTTCTTACACTTGATATTAAGCAGAAATCAATGGGTACAAAATAAAAATTTATCAGATTTATTATTTCCATTTAATTTTCTAACAAATAAGTATATTACAGTATAATACAGTAAATAACATGTAACGCTTAAACTCATGAATGAGGTAGGCAAGGCAGACAGTCTTAAACTTTTAAACATTAATATCTATTTTTTTAATTATAAATACTTTCAATTTCAATTTAATGTAACACCAATCGGTGCACAATGTTTTTGGTTAACCTGTCTTTAGCTAACACAAATAGATTCGACGGTTTCCCAACACGTGAACACGCAACATATAGTTGCCTATGAGAAAAACATGGATTTTCCAAATCTAAACCACAAATGGACATTGTTTGACCTTGAGATTTATTTATAGACATGGCGAAAGCTAAACGAATTGGAAACTGTAGCCTTTTAAAGGGTATGGTAGAATCTGATAGTATCATCGGAATACGTGGCAGCAGGACCACTTTTCCTTTAAACTTCCCAGCCAGAATGGTTGCTTCAAGAATGTTTCCGGTGATCTTTTTGATGACCAAACGCTTACCGTTACATAATTGAGGTGGATTCAAATTACGGAGGAGAATAATAGGGGAACCAATCTTTAATCGAAGATTATGTGGTGGCATTCCAGGGATATCTAATGAATTTAAAAATTCAATCGGAAAATTTACACTTTCATTTTCATCAACAACAGTATCGATTGATTTAAAAGACATCAGATCGCCTTTTAACAACTGTTGTATCTTGAATTTAATTTCGTCAACATCAACGTTTTTGGCTGCCAAAATCGCCCGTTGACTAAGCCATTCATGATTCAAATAATTATTCTGTATATCCGGGAAAATACTCTGAATCAATTCATTTTTATCCTGAACAACAGTGCAAAAATTGTCTGGTAGTTTAATGCATTGCGTATTTGGTTGCAGTTCTATTTTACCGTTCCCAATATCTAGTAGTTGTTCGGAAAATATTTGTGCTGATGGATCATTTTGCAATTGTACTCGCATATTTATGGTCAATCGAAGTGTTTCAACACTTCGCCATAAGAATGATTGTTTCAAACATGCATTAATCTCATCCGCGAAAGTAGAGCGAGGTATAACCGGTAAGGTCTGCCGGAAGTCACCAGACAAAAGTAAGATAGCACCACCGAAAAGTTTATTATTGCTGTTTAAATCTTGCATAGTTCTGTTTAATGCTTCAAGTGAATATTTGTGTGCCATTGTGCACTCATCCCAAATTATTATAGAACTCTTCCGCAACACTGCAGCTATTCCACTATTCTTTTTGATGTTACACATTGCATCTGGTTTATTATGAACGTCCAATGGCAGCTTGAATGTTGAATGTGCTGTTCGCCCACCATCCAGTAAAGTAGCCGCAATGCCTGACGATGCTACTGCTAATGCGATTTTTTGTTGCGACCGTATTTTGGCAAGAATCAACAATATTAAAAATGTCTTACCGGTTCCACCGGGTGCATCCAAGAAAAAAAAACCGCCTTGTTCAGCAGCAACAGCCAGCATAATCCGATCATAAATAATTTTTTGTTCTGCTGTCAGTAATGGTTCACTGTTCATGATAATTGTTGCTAAACTTCCATGGTCATATTGATTTTCTCGTTGTAAATCGGTATTGACTAAGTCGGTGGCTGGACGATTAGGTGATGGCATACCATAATGATTAAGTGGTAAATTTGAAATAAGAACACATAAATCCTCGATCAAGACCAATGCTTCATTGTACATCTCTGGTGTATAATCTATGTTTTGGCATTGATTTGTTTGTCTAATTCGGTGCAAGTGGCCGGCTATGCTAACACCAAAAATTTAAAAAGTGGAAATAATTGAATTATACGGTATTTCGTTCACTACAAAATAAATTTAATTCATTTTATAGCGTCAACAACACGTGGTAATTATGCTGTTAAAATGTAGCTTATATGACACGTTCGTAGATTTACCATAGCAGCGCCATCTATTGATTACTTACTCAACCCAGTCGAAAGGTATCGACAAACACCAAAAATTTAAAAAGTGGAAATAATTGAATTATACGGTATTTCGTTCACTACAAAATAAATTTAATTAATTTTATAGCGTCAACAACACGTGGTAATTATCCTGTTAAAATGTAGCTTATATGACACGTTCGTAGATTTACCATAGCAGCGCCATCTATTGATTACTTACTCAACCCAGTCGAAAGGTATCGACAAACACCAAAAATTTAAAAAGTGGAAATAATTGAATTATACGGTATTTCGTTCACTACAAAATAAATTTAATTAATTTTATAGCGTCAACAACACGTGGTAATTATGCTGTTAAAATGTAGCTTATATGACACGTTCGTAGATTTACCATAGCAGCGCCATCTATTGATTACTTACTCAACCCAGTCGAAAGGTATCGACATCTGTTAGAAGCATTTGGAGTTAACAGATAATTGTGACTGTCAAATAATAACAGACAAATAATTAGCAATAAATTAAAATTGCGACTATAATTTGAGATTTAAACTATCCTATCTCTCAAGTTGGATCGAACTGCACATGGTGTGCGAATTTTATTATAATCGGTTAAGTGGCTTAGGAGTCCATTGAGGACAAACATTGTGACACGAGATTTATATATATTAAGATATAGTGTTTGGTCATATAAACATTCCTGTGGATAATAAATTATCAGAAGCGACAAACGATTTTTCAAATGATAACGAATAAATGAATGAAGTTCAGTTGTTACCACAATTGGATAATCTGTGTGGTGACGGATTAAAAACACGGAGTGTCACCACAATCATCCCGACAACAGCACTGCAAAGAGAAGGAAAAAATGACACAAGCCCTATACCAGATCTTTATATAGGTATTTGGGTCTGCCAATATGTTCTAATGGACCAGTAGACAGTAGTAGACACAGTACTCGCATATAGTAGATAGATAAATAGAAACCTCTTTATTGTGCAAAAGACATAATAATGGTAAAGTTTGTATAAGTCTTATGATTTAAGGACAGTTATAAAAGAAATTAAAAACTAAATACATCAAAAAGAAGAAACAAGTTGTATAATTGACGGCAAAAGAAGGAGATTAAGGATGAGATGGGGAGTTGCAATTTAACATACCTAATTCCGTGTGGTGACGGCTTAAGAATACGTAATGTCACCACTCCTATTCATCCCGTCTGTGTCGTAAAACTCGACTGAGGGAGCGAACTACGCAGGACAACAGCACTGCAAAGAGAAGGAAAACTTGACATAAGCCCTATACCAGATCTTTCTATAGGTATTTAGGTCTGGCGAGTGTGGTCAAAATCTCCTTCCTAAGAAGAGGCACGTGTCCAGCTAGTAGACTTCTGTTGTGGACTGTTGATAATTGATGATGATGACTATTGGAATAAAGCATTAACGACCTGGAAGGGAGCTTTTCGCAAAGTTTAATGTGATTTTTTTGCACATTAATAAATTGTATAGAGACAAGACTTCGTCTGGAAGTAAGCCAAGGATTGGATATTGGATGGTATGATCTAATACAGTGATTAAATAATTGTGTGACACTCGACAGGGATCATACCATGACCTTACAGAAATCCGGTGTTAGTTAATCCTTTTATTACTTGTCATCGAGTGTTCAGCTGAAAGAAACAGATTCAATTGTTTAATGGTAAAATTCTATGCATTTATACGAGTACTAGCTGCGATTCATATTTGTGTCATTCTTACCCATCCCACGGGGACACTACATTTTTTCAGGATAAAACGTAGCCTATGTGTTAATCTAAGCTGTAAACCTTCATAAAAAATTATCAAAATATGTCCAGCCGTTTGACCGTTTGAAAGTACAAACATACAAGTAAAGACGCATAAGCTTAAACTAAAATTAAAACTAAAATAACAAATGTTTTGTGTCCATCAACCTTAACCCTAAACAAATGTGAATAAGATATAAAATAGATTTAGAGTAGTATTTAGTATTCTTTAGTTTTTTTTTTTTCTCGTTTGATTGTAATTAGTTTACTACTTTTTAAACTACTACATTACAGTAAATGCTATGTACACCGTTATTGTCATACATATCAGGTACAATGCCACATATTGTCAAAACTAGTTATAAGTATAATATGTATGATGTGGTAGTACTTATTAATAAATAAATAAATAAATAAAGCTTTCGCCTTTAAAATATTAGTGTGATGAATTGTTTAATAAACTTTGAGAATCGCAGTACTTGCGCAATATCTGTCAGATCTCTGTGTACCCATCTCAAAAGGCTGTCATGGTAGAAGCTCTCACATCACAGTGATATCCAGTGACCCTGACGACGACATATTCATGGACTACATATGTTCTTGAGATGATAATGAGTCAGCAAGAAATTGTGTTTTAGAACAGAGATTGAATGGAGAGGAATTTTTGTGTTATTTTTGAAGCTGAAAGGTTGTATTTTATTTTGTTTGGAGGCGCTAATCTCTAGAACCGTCGGTTTAAATGATAAAACAATTATTTAAAAACGGTTTGAAGATGCCGTTAGGGATTGTCCTCGAAGAACTACACGTCAAACATCTCCGTCTGTATTTTCTCATTGTAAAAATAGTAATAAATTAACATTTTATGGATAAATTACATACAGACACTAAAGCCATGTCTCGCCATCTAGCTACAGGAGGCTTAAGCAGCCCCTCCCCTCAGGATGGCAATTCATGAGCTGCAGGTGTCCATAGTCCATAGGCGGCGGTATTCACTTACTGTCAGGCGACCTGGAATAATTACATAAACAATTATACAACACTCGCGTAGAACGAAACGTGTGCTGCCATTTCGTAATCAAAATACAAAGCATTTTTTTCATAATTCGACAAACGTAAGCCAAAATGTTGTAACCGACATTCGTACTCCCACGGCAAAAAGTTCTTAATTAATATAGAACACACTTTTACAACCAGCGATTTTCCTTTAAAGTATAGAGAAATTTTCGCCATTTCACTGACGACATCATCTGTCTGTATTCCGTTCTGTGTTGCCATTATAAATTTAACATGCACGCTACCCGTCTGCCTAAGATCCGGCAAAAGAGTATTTTGAAGTATGTTTAATTACTCATTTCTACATGTTTCATACATTTAGCTCTGTCGAGTTTCTTCATCATACAGTTACATTAAAAAATACATTAATATTTATATTATTTCCTACTCTCGATTGTTGGAACTTGGCGGTATTTATTAAAATAAATTACGAAATCAGACTCACTTGTATCTAATTTTATTTTACGTGACCGGATTTGCCATATGCTGCCTTTTTTTTTAATGACAACTCCCGCAATAGGAATAAATCCTGTGTCGAGGGGAAATTTACAAACATACATGAAACGGACACAAAGAACACCCAGACTCAGAACATCAATTTGTGGATCACACAAAGTGTCATCCCATGTGGGGATCGGACCCACAGCACTCAGCGTAGTGACTGCTTATACCACTATGCTATCCGTGCAGTCCGTGTGGTGACGGATTAAGAATATGGAGTGTCACCAGCACTGCAAAGAAAAGAAAACTTGAAACCCTATACGACCCCGTCTGGCCAGTGTGGTATAGTGGGCCGAAACCTCCTTCTAAGGAGAGGTCCATGTCCAGCAGTAGACTATTAAAGGCTGTTGATGTGATGTTTGACCGGTTTTGCCTTATGGCATTATCAAAGTATCAAATTAAATTAAATAGTGAAATATAAGTAGAAGTGACTTTAATTTTAAAATGTACATTAATACTGTCGTGGAAAGGGCCTGCTTCGCCAAAATTCCGCCGTCTCGAACGGAGTGATATTACGGAGTGGTTTACAGGAAACCTCCTCTTGATTCTGGTAGGACTCAAAGGGCGGCTTCGCACGGCTAACTCTTAAAAGTGTCACTTAACATCAGATGACGTATAATAAAAAAAACAGTGGCACTCCAAATGTGCCGATAGAAGTAAAAACTTGTTTTTTTTTTTTATTTAAACAGCACTTTTTTGTTTTTTTTCGATTGGAAAAGTGCCGACATGAATATATCTATGTTGTACGTATATACGTTTATATTATCAATGTATTTCAACCCAAACTCAAGTCTCGTGTCGTGAAGTAAAAACTTACATACACAGGTGACAGTAACTGTAACAGAGTCGCGAGATCAATGGTTTTCTTCCCATCTAAAAAATACATTCTTTTGTTTTTGGAACGAAGTTCCTTATCGCGCGTTGTGAAAGGGGGCTAGACGAAAAAAATCTTACGAAAAGTTGTAACGACACTTTTTATGTCAGTCATTCAGCGCCATCTATTGAATAGATAGGAAATCATTACTTTTCATCTCAATATTTATTTTGAATTGTCACTTGTCAGTCATTCATCGCCATCTATCGAATAGATAGGAAATCATTTCTCAAGGATATTTTACCAATGTATAAATTGTTTTAATTAGAAACCAACTGAAAAATATGTAGGTAATAGCCGCTTTCATGGCGTTGTAATTAAAATCGTGTCGAATTAGTTTTACTCGATCGTCACAACTTCGTTCCTATCGGGTGTCCCACGAGACCACACGGCTTTTTTGTTATTCAAAAATGCCCAACGTGCCTAAAGAAGTTTTCACTTCAGAAATAGTAGCATTCCGGCCGACAGAAGTGAAAACCTATATACTTACATATATACAGAGGTGTCAGTAACAGTAACGGTAACAGTATCGCGAGTTCAATTGTTTCCAATTTCAAAAAATACCCAT